ATGATGTCATTCCTGACATATCGTTCCTAATGACTGCCGGTGGAGAAACCCAGTGATTTCTCAAAGCCAGCTATTCCAGGGTTTCACAATCTCTATGTTGCAGGTTCTCCCTCTGATCTGACCTGAAGTTTTCCTGCTCCAGAAAGCCCCTTATTTCTTGCACCACCCAGCATGACACTGAACACACACGATGCCCCTTCTCGGCACAGCTCTTAAAATACCCGAGGCCTACCACGTCCCTTCCCATTTTTCTCTTCTTTAGACTAAACAGCTCAGTTTCTTCTGATCCTTCCCCCTGAGTTATCTCCCTGAGGGATCCGATCACCCTTCTCTGGACACTCTCCAATGATACAGACATTGCTCTTGGAGAATGATGCCCAAGTTTGGGCAAAAGTTCTCCAGCCGTGGAGAAGAAAGGCTCTTCACAGACCTACCAGGCCCCACAAACAAACTCACTGATGTTTGCCTTTTTTGTAACAGCATGACATTGTTGACCTCACACCCAGTGCATGATGCACTGTAATTCCAGCTACTTTGCTAAAGGAATACTGTCTAAGGAGTTGATCACCATTCCCAGCCTGTTAAATTTCTTCCTGCCTCAGGAATTCAGCAGAGTGTCTTCTATTTATTACTGCTGGCTTTAATTCTACTTTATTTTTCAGATTATGTCTCTAATTTGTCAAGATGATTTTCAGTATCACTACAATCCCTTAATGCTGGCAGGCCCTCCTATCTCACCAGCACATTTAATGAGAACGTATTATTTCATCATCTTAATTCTTAATGGAAACACTGATCAGAATTAAACTCAGGACTGCTGACTGCCAAGTCCCTTTACTCCAGAGCAGATAAAGTATCAGGTCACCTCTTGGTACTTAAGGCTGATATTCCGCAGCCCTCATGTTTTGTTAACTACAGACCAGGGAATATATCTAATGGAGTGTTATATATGCTTCCCAGTATCCCGTCAAGGCTCCAGGACCCTCTGCTGCAGCTCAGAGCACAGCAGGTAACTTCCCAGTCACACACCACTGTACTGGCTCCTTCCCAGAGCAACACCCTGCTGGAACTGCAGCCTGGACCAGGAGGCACCCAGGAGCAGGGGGAGAGGAGGCTGACAAAGAACTCGCACCCTCAGAGCAAAGGATTTCTGTTTGCCTGAAGTCAGCTACGCTGCCTTCAACTCAAAGTACTTAGCCCACTCCTGTTTGCCAAAATAAGTCTTAGTTTGCTCCAACATTGTCATTTTTAATGCTGAACTAGGTATCACTACACAGGGATGCCTAGAGCCATATGCCTAACACATATAGCTATATATATATATGTTTATAAATGTGTGACATTTTTGACTTAGGTAAGAGATATAATTACTTATATTACAATAACACTCAGATTATGCTTACTGATTATACAATCTATTTCTGTCTGCTTTGAATGAGCAAATTCTCAATATTCCATTTTATCCCAGGGGAAACAAAGGGATTTAATTCCCCAGACTTTCAGCATTTCCCAACATCTTCCATCTCTGCATTCCATTCACAGTGCAAAGCTCATTCCTGAGATAAGTGCAGGGCTTCCATGACTCAGAAAATGAGTTCAGATTCTCACTGATCTGTAACCCCAGCTGTGCACCAGATTTTACAGAGATCCCTACTCTGCAATAGATGAGAAACCTTCCTGTGGCCCATCATGGTCCCCAGGCTGCAGGTCTGATGGTCAGCAGAAAACCAGGAGCCTAGAGGAGGAAGCAGGTATCTAAATAACCTCAAAAGCATTTGCAGCATATTAAGTCTAGATTCCTTCTTATCAGTCAGTACTAACTGTGAGATTCCTTTGCTAAATTAGGTATTGTTCCAGAAAATACCACTGCATTACATAATGCCTACTACACAGAACTGGGGCAGCTACCCCAAGACATGTTCCTCTGAGCTTGCAGGCTTTCAGCCAGGTATCCCATTCTGCTCAAGTTATGTAGGTTTTGAGGCATGCCTGTTACTTTCAAGAAGAACCCAACCACAAAAAATACTGTATCACACAAAACAATTCATCTGTAGACAATTTATGTCATTCACACCCAAGCCATGACGACCACAGGTTTAGTCCAGCTGTAGGACGTGGGAGAGGCCGGGCAGAGTCCCAGAGCTGCACAGGACAGAGCACACCCTGTCACCCGGGTCCCTGCTGCCATTCCAGCTGTGCAGCTGCTGTGCAGAGCTGCTCCCTCACCTCCCTTCACAGCCCCAGCACATCACACTGGCCCTCAGCCCACTGGCTCACGCCTTTCTTCTCCATTCCTGAGGCTCAGCTCAGCTGCAACCCCCACACACACCCAGAAATAAAGCCCAAAATAAAAAGCTGTGGAAGCCAGCCCTACTAGTGGCCTAAAAGCAATAGTTTTGGATGGAGTGAATGGGGAAAGTGACAATACTGTGGGAAAGCAAGGAATAAAAGTAGCCAAAGGCTCACACACAGGGTGTGAGAAAGCAGATAGGGACTCAGAAGTGGCCAGGCTGACACAGCCCACCAGCTGCCACACTGTGGTACAGCACAGGGGGAAAAAATAATTCTGCCTCTTCCTTCTAACATGTCACCTCCAGCCTCCTTCCCTGTACTAGTTCACACACAGGACAGCCACCAAAAGAAGGGTCTCTTTACCAACACAGGCCATTGAGGGGCTGCCTGGAGACCTGTGAAGAACTTGGGCTGTTCAAAATCTTCTCCAAAATTTAACTCCCACTTGGCAACCTGAGTTAGTGTTCCCTCATGACTCTGATTTACGCAAGTCCCTCTGGATTTGACTGATCCAACAGGCAATGTTTAGAACATGTTCTAGCTCAAGGTGTTCATGCCCATGGCAGGGGGCTGGACTACGTTAACCTTCAAAGGTCCCTTCCAACCTAAACTATTCTTGGGTACTATGTTAAGCACTGGATGTGTATTGTGAGGCATGGAGCATCCAGATTACCCTCCAGAAGATGAGCAGGTCTTTAGCCTGGAACTAACACATTTAAGAACTCAAAAATAACAGCACTTGTCCTGGATTAGGAGTGTCCAAATCCTGGCATTTTAATCAAGACACATCTTCTAAGAAGATATTAAAAGCAGCCATCAAAGCATTTATCTTCAGCAAGAGTGGAAAAAGTATTCTCTGAACCCACCTTGTGAGTACTCTACCCAGCTTATTAACCCCTCACCAATCCCTCCCTGATTTCTCACTCGTGAGAAACAGTTCTCTCTACAGCTCCTTTTTCCCTAAAGTAGAACAACATAAAAAAAAATACTGTAAGGGCTTCAGACCAGCAGACTAAGAAAATAAAGATGAAATATAAGCAAATTTCTTTTTCCTATAAAAGTTTCCAAAACCAAAGCAGGCAGATTTGCAGAACCATTTCCGCCTGGCAAGCCGATGAAAAGAGCAGGGTTCCTCAGAACATGCACACCTTTTACTGTACTTAAAGAAGGATCAAAGTAGTTAAACTGAGTTACAGTTATTCTTAACTTGTATTTTTCTCATGTTTAGACAATCTCTGCAGCCTCCAAGAGCCAGGGCAGCACCCTGGTTCCACTGGAACCCAGTCATCCCATTCCTGCAGCTGCTCCATGAGTCATTCCTGTGCAGCATGACATTGCCTTTGTAAAGCACTGCTTCCCAAACCATCATCCTCAGAAAGCTGGCTGGCTACGTGCTGCTGGCGGAGCTCCTGGCCTCCAACTGCTGCATGCCTTTAAAGACAACCAAGATGCACTGAACGCTATCCTGGCACACGTTTCCCTTGAAAGCTGCTGCTTTAGTTGCTGCAGGGCAACTCTGTTCTTGTGAATGAGTGAGGAGGTGTCTCGAAATAACTTCTGAGACACAGTCTGCACAAAGAAGTAAAAATAAAATCAAAACAAAGACCTGTGTGGAATTCTTGCTCTAGATAATGTGTCAGCTCTTCATGAAAATCTCCCTGGTCCAGCAAGTCTGGGAATTATCTCCAGCTCTACCATATGGAGATGTGAGACACCAGGCCAGTTGCTTGTTTTATTTAACATGTGTTTCTTTTACCAGCAGTATTAACATGGCCTTGTTCCTGTTTATACTTTGGGAAGGGAGAAAATAAACTTTTTCCCTCTCATTCTGTTTTGCTCTTTCAGGAGTTCCCTGTTCCTGTCAAACCGAGTTAAGCTAAACAGAGACAAGGCAGTTTTGCTCCAGAGTAAATGTGTCCACACTAGGAGATTATTTAGAAATTGTTCCTACAGTTCAAATGCATAAACTCCCCCCTTAATCCTCATTAGCCTTCTGATGTAAGAAGGCCCTGAGGTTGGGTAATTATTTTGTTAGCAGACCACAGTATAACACAACTTTAAGGCAAAGCACATGACACTCTCCCAGTGCTTTCACCAGTTAGGAGAGGCACCTATTTCAGTGGTTTAACAGTAAAGTTTGTCATTGTCTGCAAAGTGACAAGAGCAATGCTGAAGCTATGAGGGTGCTGAGAGAGCCTGAACTCCCTGTGCCCATCCATGTGGGAAAACCACCTCAAAAATGCAGGACAACCCTTGGAGAGAACTCGCATCAAGACAATGTCAATGAGACCTGTGACCCAACTGCAGTGAACACCAGCAGAGGAGAACACGAAGGGCTGGCACTTCCCTGAGACAATTCCTCCTCTGAGTGCCTCGGAAATCACAGAGCAAAGCGGAGCAGCTCGCTCCCCAGCAATAGCAATGTTACTTGACAACCAGCACGTCTGTCAGTGATGCTGTAAAGTACCAGTGTGCTCTGGCACGCAGGGCAGCTCGCAGCGCTGAACCCTCCTGCCTCCCTGGGTGACAGCTTTGTTTCGCTGTTTCAAACCTATCACAAGTCTGTTCCATTCAAGGGAACCAGAGAGGCACCTTCTGCCCATAGGACAACCCAGATGTGAACCTGCCAGGTTCACCCGTGCTCTTTCAACAGGGACAGCGTTTAGTTTAGGCTGGAGAGGTGAATGATGAAGTAGTAGCAAACTTACTTTCCAGTGATCAATTGGCTTCTGGATGGTGTACACATGGGCTGGACATAGTAGTTCTCCAGCTTGACCCCTTCGGCAGCCAGCTTGTCCAGCGTGGGCGTCCGGATCTCAGAGCCGTGGTACCCCACGTCCCTGAACCCCTGATCGTCGGCCAGGATGAAGATGATGTGCGGCTGCGAGCGGGGAGCGCCGGCCACGGGCTCCTCTCCCAGCAGGTTCCCCGGCGCCTCCCCGGCACCTCCCCGGCGGCTGCCCCAGGCCAGGTAGCCGCAGGTGAGGAGGCTGAGCAGGGACAGCCCGGCCAGCACCGCCGCCACCATCCTCCCCGGGCTGGGGCGGCGCGGCCAGCGGCGCCCACCGCGGGCCATCCACCGCGGCGGGAGGGCGGAAAAACAGTAACGAAAAGGAAATAAATCAACAAAAACCCAACAAAGCCAGGCGGCCTCGGGACGGGCAGCGCCCGTCAGGGCTCCCGGCGGGCGAGCGACATCGCAGTCACTCCAACTTCGGCAACTTCAGCCGCTGGAGCCGGTGCCGGTGCCGGAGCCGGGCGGGTGGGCAGGGCCCCGCCGGGGGTCACAGCACCCTCGGCCCGCCCCCGGCCCCGCGCCGGGGCGCCGCTGCCAGCCCGTCCCGGGGCCGCTGCCCATGGCGGGGCGAGCCGGGGCGCCCCGGGACGGGACGGAGCCGGGACGTGCCGCCCCCCGCCCGCCTCCTTCGGCGCTGCCGGGCCGCGCCGCTCCCTCCGCCCACCCTCACCACCGCCCCCGGTGGCTCCCGGTGCTCGGACCCGCCGGAGGACAGGGGCACCCCGGCCCCGGCAGCGCCCGCAAGCCCCCCTCCTCCCTGCCCGGCCCCTTCGCAACCCGGCTCCTGCCCCTGCTCGACCCGTCCGCAACTCTTTTCTTCCTTTCCCTCTCCTCCCCTCTGCCCGCACCTCCTCCCCTCCCTCGCCCGCCCCCCGCATCCCAGAGGAAAACCTTCCACTCCGTTCGGCCGCCAGCCCCAGCCTCCCCCCCACAGCGAGGTGGTCCTGCTCCTTCCGCCTCCTCGAAATATTGATTGTTTTAAGAGTTTCTGACTTGGCCACAAACATCTGGAAGGTATGAACGTACCGGATTTGTTTCCAGCCACAAACAGCCCCAAATCCCAAACCCTCCAGTTCTGGCGAGGCTGTGGCAAACGCCAGGAATGCGCCTTTGCAGAATACAATCACTTTTAAGAACTTGGGTTAAAGTACGAATGTGCTGCAGTTGCAAAATACAACTTCACCCTGTCCTGGAAGACACCGAGTCAAGCAGAAACTGATATTCACACACGATTAGGACGAAGTGAATCTGCAGGTCCGACCTGTCTAACATGAGTCAGCATGAACAACTTCTAGTCCCACCAGGTTTTATAAAGTATTAACTCTTAAACAGACACTTGGACCAAGCCCTCTAGTTCCTGCACCTCTGTGCTAAGCTCCAGCTGGTCCCTGCCAAGGGACTTTCTACATCCCTCTGGGATCCCTCCCAGATTAAGAATAAAGTAGTGCTGTCTTAAGTGAACTTTAATTTGGGTCGAATCTAACTAATTTGGTTCACATCAGGTTATGCAAAACTGTCCCCACTCTAAAATTTCCACTGAAAAAGACCTATTTAGAAATAACTAAGTGTTATGCTGAAGTTCTCAATGCTACAGCAGGAAAACATGGAAGTAAAAGTGGATTTAGGGATTTCAGCGTGCTAAGTAACAGCTTGTCCACGCTGAAAAGTGATACAATAAAAGTAACAACTGCACCCTAAAACCTGCAGAGTATAACTTCTGAGGGAGAACATCTTCTGAAATCACAGCACGTTAATACAAGTTCTTAAAAAAAAATCCAAAATCTTAAACTTAAGAAACTGTGACATTTTCATCTACCATCCCTGCCCACTGCAGGGGGGTTGGAATCCAACGCAAACCATTCTATGATTCCTTGAAGTTACACTTCATTTAAAAGAATTTGCTATTCCAATTTTTACTCCTTTTCCCCACGTTTACAAGACCAAAAGAATATATGTAGACACTTAAATCCATAAATGGTCAAATGCAAATTGGATTTGTGATGTCATCTTGTCTTTAACACGAAAAAATATGATGCTCCCCTTTTAATATAAGCTGTAGTAGCACCATGGACCCAGACAAGCATCAGAGTATCATAATAAGTATCCGATCAAATGTATATAAACACATTTTCTAGCAGTAAAGTAGGAAAAAATGTATTATTAAGAAGATGCCATAGAACAGCTCTCAGAGGACAGGAGGATAACACAGCCTGTGACTTTGCAGTGCCCCATTAACCATACCAAACTCTGTCAGTCCCCACCCAACTGCATATGAAAATATTCGAGGGCAATCTCTGCCAGACATCTATAAACTTGACCTTCTCTCATTTTGGGCCTGACAAAGCTTCCTTTTCTTTTTTTTTTCCCACTTTTGCAAAAACAAAAGTAGGCTTATGTCAGCAAAATACTCTGCTGACCTTCAAGCAGAAAGGCCTTAGAAGATAATGTGCTATTAATATTCTACTTAATATTTGTAGATGCTCAGAAATTGTAGCCAAGGTTTATACAGCCCATTCAGGATGCTTAGTGAAAAAGGAACAGAAGAGTTGTGAAAGCTGAAGGAAGTATTTTTTCCCTGAGGGGAAAGAAATCCTGAACATCCATAGGTATTTAAACTTGTGTGCAGTGAATACATTAATTCAAACTTACATTAGTTACAACTGAATTTAGCACAGCATTAGGAAAGGATATATTTTTAGTGCTTGCTATGCAGTCTCTGTGTGTATTGAGCCCATAAAATTAAATTTGTGCAGAGTGGATGGCTGCAGCTGGAGGCTCATCTGCAGTTACCTGCAGCCCAGGTGGGGGCTCTTAGAGGTGCCCTTTGCTGGTTATTTCAGGTCAGGCTGTCACCAACCTGCTCTTCCCGAGCCAGACATGTCTGACACACACAGACATCCCAAAAAGAGCACGTGTTCCATTCCCTTTCTCTGCCCTGACTGGCCCTTTGTGCCAGCTGCCTCGGAAAGGTGACAGTCCTGTGGTGCAGGAGACTGGAGAGAGCTCTGGCACAAAGGCTGAACATGCAAACTCTCCTTCCTTGTGTCAGCACTCTTCCTGACAGAGAGTTTCACTCCAAGTTACAGAGAAACAGGAATAATAATGGTAAGTGAGGGCTTGGGAAGACAGTGTATAGAAAAAATAGATTCAAGTGCTAAGGCTCCTACGGTAACATTATAACTGTTTTTCTAACACTTAGGTCGGTCTTGAGAAGGTAATTCTTCCTAGCTGGAGAAAGGTAATTCTTCCTAGCTGGAGTCTACATGTTTCTCTTACCTGTGACTAACAGCTGACAGTAACAAGGAAGGATGCAATTTGGGATATGCAATTCAGTGCTCTTCCTAATCATGCCTGAGGCCAGGAAACTTTGTCTGCCTGAAGAACAGCTTTGCGAACTGCTATTTTTAGCTGAATTGCTGCAACTGAAGGAAGAATGAAGCAGGCTTTGGCCTACACACAGAGTCAATATTCTACATATTTCCAGGAACAGTAACTGTGCATTTCCTTTCACCTCGCTCATTTCTGCATGCCCCTGTCCTCAGCATACCTTCTTCACAGGGGAAGGAAAAGGCAGCACATCCCTGCACTCTGCTTTCCAGGTGAGTGCTGTGCTTTTGCCAGGCACTCATCACTGAAAATAGCAAACTACAACATGAATAGAAGTCTGGTGAGTCACAACCTTGACATCATTCCCTTTGCCTCCTTTGGTGGACCCTGGTAATTAATTTACAGATGTGCTGCTTGGGAATGCTCAGATTCCACCCGTGGCTTATTCCCTGCTTTATGATGACATAAACAGAGCCTTGCTCTGAGCTTATTCTATATTTAACACAGATTTTCCTCAACTCCCCACTGTATTTTGTAGGCAAAGGTCCAGATTCTGATCTCAGCTGCCTGCACTGATGTAAATGTGCAGTCACTCAATTGATGCCAATAAAGTCACTCTGGAAATTTGGGATATGACCTTAGATATCCCTCGTGTCAGTCCCTCCAATCACTGGAACAACACAACTTTGGAGCTGGTGCTGGCCTTCCTGGAAGAGTCTCCCATTTCCCAGTTACATAAGGTTAATGGTCCCAAGTGAAACAGAACAAAGTCTTTAAATTCCTGTGGTCCTACTGAAATGGCTGCTTCTGGAAACAGTAAGTGGTGTGCTTCTGTAGGAACTGGGGAATTTCAGCAGCACATGCCAAGAGAAGTCACAGAATCACAGAATGGCTTGGTTTGAAAGGGACCTTAAAGACCATGTAGTTCCATTTCTGTGCCATGGGCAGGACATCTTCCACTAGACCAGGTCACTGAGCACAGGTCACAGTTGTCTGTCTGTCTGTCAGAACAAGGGGTGTGGACACTTTACTGGCTTTACTCAGTCTCTGAAGAGCCAAATAATTTGAAGAGGTTACAGCACACATTCAGAGGCTGCCACAGCCATCAGCATGTTAGTGCTTTGAAGCTTTGGCATGTTGGCTAAGACTCTCTCAGCTACAATCTCCAGCATGGTTTCCTTGCCATGAACAGTGTGGAGAGAACAGTCTCATCTGTTCCTAAAGCCTGCGGCTTCACACAAAGGTCACCTGCCCTGTTTAAAACTGCACTCTGGTTTAAAACTGCACTCTAGTGCACTTAAAAAGGCCAGAGCAAGAGAAGTGGAGCAAGGCACGAGCTTATAATAAATGCAATTGCAACATAAATCTAAGAAGTTTAAACAGGATGGAAGATTTAGTCTCTTTTCAAAATTACTGAAGTTTTACAATGGAAGAAAAACTTTTTTCTCTGTCCAGAACAAAACTTTCCTGCTTTAGGAGGGATACACCACAGAGTGCTGCAAGTGTTCTACCAACTGCCTGGCATTCACACAACAGGACATTTTTATCCCATGCAACAATAAAGCTGAAAATATAGACTGGTCAAAAGGGTACAACTGTAGCAAAAATATAATTCTATTTCTTTTGGCCTTGTGAAGGATTTGATTTCAAGGTTATGGGTGCACAGCTGACAAAACGCTGTGCTTTCCAATGCAAGCTTTTAGGGAGAGGGATGATTTAAACCAGGAATGGTGCTTGTCCTTAGAAAGAAGAATGCTAATGAAGTGTTTGTAAGGCTCAGGATGTTTTAAATAGCTGTTAAATACTAGAAATGGCATTTAGATGATTCACTGCTACACACCAAATAAAAGCTTCATGCATACAGAACTCCACAGATTGCAATATCAGAAATTACTCTGGTAATAAATTCTAATTTCAGTAATAAATTCTAATTTCACCTTATCATTATTCAGGTTTAAAAAAAAACAAAACAACAAAACAAAACACAAAAAAACCCCCAAACACCCAGTCTTTACCTCCACCAAAAAAAACCAAAACAACCAAATCCAACCCAACACCTCGCTCTTTCACCTTTGCCTGGGACATTTTGTTCAGCTCGTTCCTAGTTCACAATTATTAACT